CCTCAACACCTACGCACAAGCGTGCGTTTCTCGCAAGTTCATAAATAGAACGTTTTTTCTTTCAGCACGTTTTCCGCATGGAAAAGCTTTCTCCTTAAACCTCTGGTAATCATTGTGGAATGTCTGAAGTCCTTTTAAGACGTTTCTGGTAATTTTGGTGCACTTACACCAGTTTACTACTGCGTTTACTCTGCTGTTATGTAACAACCTTTAAGTACAATTTTCTATTAAGATACCTTTTCAAGTATGATTTTAATTCTGTTACTAAGTTTATTAGAATTTTTATATTATCAATCTTGCTTCTGTTCTGGCCGATCTTAATCATAAATGTAAGAAATTTAAGGTAGAAAATACTTTTGTAACTGCGTAAACAACTCGAAGACGCAAACTAATTATGCAGGGTCTGTCGTACGTAACTTAACGTGATTCGCTGATTGAGATAGAATGATGACGATGGAAGAAGATTGACAGCCTCGTAGTGTCACCTTTAGTGCCGCCTTTATAGGCTGGTGTACAGCATCTTTCAATCAGAGAATATAGCAAAATAGAGCAGTGTGGACTTATGTCGAAAGGAATAAGCTGAACTGTGGTGAATAAGGTCCAGACTGGTCTAGACCCCGAAAAAAAGAATTGTACTCAGAGTTCAACCAGAAAATAAAGGAAATTCAAGCGAGTGTTAGAGAGGAATTCTTCTAACACGTGTGGACAGCGATCGAAAGTGTAACACATTAATTTAAAATAATAACTTTCTATAACAAGTATTGTTTTCCAAACCAATAACACTTGTGTTCTTTTCTATCTAAAAGTTTCCAAGTCGGTCACTATTTGTTTCCCTTTGATTTATGTTAAACTAACTGTATGCATATCTTATTTTTTCATTCAAATTCCGGGCTATTGATATTTTCATATTTTTTTTTTTGTTACTTCAATGTCATGATGGTTGCTTACGACGTAACGCCGTCCCACAAGACAACACAATGAATAGGCGAGGACTGAGTCTCGATGAGGTTTACCATAAGCCGTAAAAGTGCCAAATATTTTAGCCGTTGGACGTAATTATTGGCAAATTCAAACCATTTGTCGTAAACATAGTCAGCTTGCTCAAATTCCCAGAATAACATATGGATATAAGAAATCATAACGGCAATTGTAATTGGAATATAGAGCGACTATTTATCTGTCCAGAAAGAAAACTGAAAAGAAGTGAAGTAATAAATTTACACAGACAACAGGAAAGCGACATTAGGACTTGCCGTGTCGTATTTAGTACACCCCATTGCTTGCTTCATGTCGGAGGCAGTAAACGGGTCATCAAGTAAGTAAGTCACGGTGTTAAAAACGTTGCTAATATCTCTTTCCTAAAATAGATATCTAGAACGTTTCCATCAAGTTTTATTTTCGTACTGTTTGAGATTTTGGGCTGGAGATTGGGGCGAGGAAGCCAAATTTGATCCAATTGCACATCTCCGACATTTGACTGCTGTGTTGCGTCAATGACAATTGAAACTTCATGATTTCTAAAACACTTTAATTATTTACGTCTTTAAACAATTTAGCGTTTTATTACTTTGATTTACGGGACTCGTCGCGTGGAATTGTATACCCAGGCTGATCGTCGCTCTTCCCCTGAGTTACACATACAAGGCGACTTCTTCTTCTCTTCCCAATAACAGCCATACATTTCTTCCCAGCTGCGCAATGTTTCGAGGCCTTTTTCTCTATCGTTGCATTCTAAAAGGATAGAAAAAAAAAACCAACAACAAGGCATGCAGTTTAAATGTGATGGTTACGATCGCGGATGAAAATACAGGAACGATTGTATATATCTCGGCAGTCTATTAACCCTTGACACCTGAACATTAGTATCTATGTTTGTTTCTGAATACGTGTGACCGCAAACGTCTAGGGTCACGTGACCAGACTTCAACGGTCATGTTTGCCGTTTGCCGTCCACGTGTTATTTTCGGGCTAAGCAGTTTCAGGTACTTGAGCTCCCTCGACGGTTTTTGTCTTCCTGTTCGATAGTGCTCGCGTATGGCCTATAAGAATATATGTGAGTTGAAGTCTTTTCTTCATAACCAGGAGCCCATTATCCGGAGCTTCAATCTTCCATACTTATCCTCTGAGTCAACCCTGTCCCGTATCTTTTTATTTTGAGAGGCGCCTTCCACGGGGTTTTTTAGCGGGTGTTTACATAATAGCAAATCATAAGAGAGCCGTGGTCCTCTATTGTTTATGTCACATGCAGGCCACACGATAGTCCTTTAATAATGGCGAAGAGGGCGGAAAATTTTAATTTTTTTTCCTTTTTAATGGTGTTGTGCGAAGGTCAGCGTGGTTTTGCGGGAAATCAAAGAGCCCCCCACGTATCTTAGTTCTAAAAATAAAAAAAAAGGGACAGGATTGACTCAAGGGTACAACTGGTATGGATGCTCCGAGTAATGGGCTCCTGTTACAACCAATCCGTTTGGAACGCTAGGAACCAATCTTTCAGCCACAGCTTGTGTTTGAGATGAAGGACCTCCATTTTCTGTGTAATTCAAGATGGCAGCGAACATGTTGACTTTTTCAGTCGAAAGCCGACGTCGATCTAAAAAGCTGAAAGTCTCAAAACTTCTATTTTCTAACCACAATTTCTAACAGGTTTTACGTTTGCGATAATCACACCAAACGTGGATCTAAAACTCTCTAAAGATCCTAAGATCTGGACATAATTAGTCGCGGAGATGCTGTTTTTGATCTGTGCGATTCTGCTCCTTTCAAGCCTTTCCCCAAGTCCTCCTCACAAAAGTAGTTCAAGAAATGAGTATCTAACATCATGCTCTCCAGCATGTCAATTTTTGGCTTTCGAATTTGGAATGGTTCGTCTGCAAAAAGGATTTTTTGGTTTTCGACCTTGGATTGTGCAATGGTTTTCTACATCCACTCTTTGTATTTCAAACAATGGTTACTACAAGCCTGGTGGAATTCTGCATTCATCAACACTTCTTTGTGACACTGTGCCTAGTTAAGTGCGAAGCAATTCAATTCAACCTCGTACTATTCGTGCTTCATTTGTCTCATTAGACAATCGCTGCTCTGTACTATTATATAAAATCAAGAAAAAATGGTTCAAGAGTAAAATCTCTTATTATTCCAATAGTTCGTCAACTTTTAATTTTTTGGAATTATCAGTCTTGCTTAGCGGTGATGTTCATCCATTGCCTGGCCCGGAGAATAGGAAATCTATTTCAGTTCGTATCTCTCAACGTACGCGATGTCGCCATGGTAACCATCACACGGTGAAAAATAATCACAAAAGACCTGAAGTCCGTACCATCATAACAACAACAGAACGTCAAAAAACATCTTAGACTCTGCTGCTTGAATGCTAGATCAATTAAAAACAAATCTGCGGATTTTGTTTGCTATGCAGCATCCACCGGTGCGGACATTTACATATTTACAGAAACATAGTTGACGGAACGTGACATTGCACATAGAGCTGAACTTACTCTGCCTGGTTTCAAGCTGCTCGATCAACCGCGTCTTGGAAGGACTGGTGGTGGACTTGCACTCTTAATAAAGAGCGGCATAGATGCCAAGAAAATGGACGGTGGTGAGCGTAGATCTTTCGAATTTTTTGAATGGACTCTGCGTTATTGTTCAAATAGCTTGAGAATTGCTGTCATCTATCGTATACCATATTCTCAAGCCCATCCAGTCACCACTAGTGTTTTCTTTGATGAATTCATAACTTACCTCGAGTCGATCATCATGTCTCCTGAGCCGTTGCTGATAACGGGTGATTTCAATATTCATGTTGACGTACATACTGACTCTGATGCTTCTCGTTTTCAAGATTTACTATCATCTATGGGCCTTCAACAGCACGTGGATAAATCTACACATATATCTGGGCACACCTTAGACTTAATGATTACTCGTTGCTCGAATTCATTTCTTACAGCCAAACCTATGACTGACTACTTGTTTTCAGACCATTTTACTGTTCTTTGCGATCTTGCCTTAAGTAAACCATCTCCCAAAACTGAGCAAATATCATATAAAAAACTGAAGGCAATCAAGATTGAGGATTTCAAACAAGATCTGTCTACCTCTGAGCTTTGTAAATACAGTCCAGATTCGCTTAACGATCTCGTTAAATGCTATAACGATACCTTGTCCCAAGTGCTCGAGAGACATGCTCCACTTTGATCCAAAGTTATACGATCTCGACCTCTGGTTCCTTGGTTCAATGAAGATATAAAAAATGCTCGCCGTGAGAAACGGAAAGCAGAAAGAAAATGGCGACGCTCTGGCAAACACGACGATATGTTGTCATACAAAAAGATCAAGAATACGACAATTCGATTAATGAACGAAGCTCGAAGCCAATACTATCATGACTTCATTAATGATAACAGTTCGAATACTCTTTTGAATCAAAGGAAAAAGAACACTGTGCTACCACCTTGCGATGATAAACTTGAATCAGCTGATAGGATGGGCTCGTACTTTGTTAAAAAAATCACTGATATTGGGACAAGACTCGACGATATGGCTCAAGATCTTTCCACTGACCCGCTTTTAAACTGTACATTGTCACCAACCCCCAAATTTAGTAAATTTACAGCACTTTCTGAACTCGAAGTACGGAAACTTATCGAAGGTAGCGCAAAGAAAAGCTATTCTTTTGATCCGATGCCCACCTCACTGGTTTTTAGCTGCATTGATGTCCTGCTTCCCGTGATCACAAAAATGATAAATCTATCCCTCGTGGATGGTGTGTTTGCTGATGTCTGGAAATGCACTTGTTAAGCCGTTGCTCAAAAAGCTGGTCTTGATCCACTTAGTAACTACAGACCTCAGACATAGTGTGATGCTACACTGGTTTGCAGATTTAATGAATGTAACCGAAGAAGTTACAATTCATAGACCCAACGTTTCGACACTCCTGTCTAGTGCCTTCATCAGGGGTGATCTAAACGCTGCAACAAGAGGTCCTTTTGATATGATCACTAATTAGCGGCCTTTTTTCTGACGAGGTGTAAATAGGCGTCAGGAGGCAGACCGCCATCGTCACGATTTAAAGGAGCGTGGGCGGAGTTAATGTGCCAAGCCTCCAAACAAAGGCGCTGGTGGTAACGCCGAATAGTGGTGATAATTTTAGAATTATCCCACCCAATTGTATGGTTGGTTAGGCAAGTATACTCTGATAAGGCTGAATTTTCCTTTTTGCAAAGAAAAACCGCTTTTTGGTGCTCTTTTAACCGTGTACCAAACTGGCGTTTGGTCTGTCCGATGTATTCATCGTCACAGTCATTGCAAGGAATAGAATAAATGGCGTCGGTTCGTTGTTCTTTCGTGACAGGATCCTTAGGTTTGGCGAAAATATGCCCCAAAGTCTGAAAAGGTTTTTGAGCAACTTTAACGTTGTAGCTATTCAAAATTCTCTTGATGGGTTCAGTAACACCCTGTATGTAAGGAATAACAGCAAAACCAGTCGCTGGTTCCCTTTCATCAAGAGCGTTACTATTTGTAACTGGTTTTGGCAGTCACGGAGAAAAGTTTTTGTATAGCCATTTGCCTTTAGGACATTCGAAACATATTTCCTCTCCTCAGCTTTCGAATCGAGTGATGATGGTAGACATTCAGCCCTCCTAAGTAAAGTTTTGGCTACAGACTTCTTATGGCAAATAGGATGGTGAGAATCGAAAGCGAGGTATTTGTCGGTGTGGGTGGGTTTACGGTAGACACTTGTCTCTAAATTACCCTGAACCCCTCTGGACACATTTAAATCAAGAAAGGACAAATGTCTATCCTTTTCACGTTCAAGGGTGAATTGGATCGACGGCTCTACTGAATTCAAATGCGACAAGAGGCGCTCCGCTTCATTTCCGGATACCGCAGAAATAACATCATCGACATATCGTTTCCAGAAAAAGGGTTTAACCGGTGAAGTGGCTAAGGCCCTTTGTTCCACGTCTTTCATTACCATGTTAGCAATGACAACAGAAACAGGCGAACCCATCGCTGTACCAAAAACTTTTGATAAAAACTGGGATTTTGGTGAAGAGCGAAACAACGTTGAAAGATACTAATTCTTCACAAGCGTCAAGAGTTTTATCTCTTATGAAATCCGTAAATTCTCAGGAATTTTTGACAGTGTAATCAGTATTCCCAACAACAGGCGACAAAATTCTCGCAAGATAACCAGAAATTGCATAAGTCGGAGAATTAACAAAAGAGACAATGGGTCTCAAAGGAATTCCCGGTTTATGAGTTTTAGGTAAGCCATAAAAACGTGGACATAAGCCGTCACTACTGTATAACATTTTGTACGTAGAGTCACTAATTCTGCCAGCTTTTTTCAAATCAAGCAACATTTTGTTTAACTTTCTTTGAGTTTTACTGGTAGGATCAGAGTTTGGGACAGCATACGTACTCTTGTCATTAAGCAGAGACAAAGCTTTGTCGTGATATTGCTGTTTGTCCATAACCACAACACAATTACCAGCAGATAATACGAGCCTGTCCGGATCCTTTTTGAGAGTTATGAGCGCATTGAAAACATCCTTTTGAATGTTTTTGGGAGGAAGTTTAGCACGCCTGAGTATGCTACTTACTTCTGCTCTTGCCAAATGCCTACGATCGTCGTCGAGTTGAGAGATTCGCTCCTCAACAGCGGCGACAATTTCGGCAGTCGGTATTTTGCGAGGAGCAATAGCAAACTTTAGACCCTTCTCTAAACCACTCCGTTCCAGCGCGGATAACTCCTTGGAGGAAAGGTTCATGACCCATTTATCTTTCAGAGATGAGCCTGAATTAACAGGAGACCTCTTATTGAGCAAGTGACGGAGTTTTCTGTCGTGTTTCTCTCTCTGTTTGGTAAACGTCTGCAGTTCTTTCGAATTGCAAAACTCCTCGACCCAGGAAGTTTCGGAGTTGTTAATCAAAGCAGAGAGTTCACTGAGTGAACGAGAGAATAACGTACGCAACCGCAGTATGGAACTGTGACATTCATCTATTCGTAGCTTAAGAAAAGAAAAACCAGTACGGACCATGAGCCTGTATCCTTTAGCACTCCGTAGAGGAGGCCGAAATCTCAAACTCGATGGAAGCACATGGTTTTCTTTGCAACGGTGATTGAAATACAAATGACAGCGATACTTAGCAATGCGGACTCTGATGTTCGCGAGCCTACAGACCTGTTAGTAATTTGCCATACATATCGAAGCTCACCGAAAAGGCGGTGTATAATCAACTTCATTTACACATGATAGACAATTCTTTTTATCCAGAAATGCAATCATCTTACAGAAAAGGACATAGTACCGAAACAGCGCTTCTTCGAGTTGTTAACGATATCTTAATGAAGATGAATTCACAAGAGGTCACTCTTCTTGTCATGTTGGATCTTAGTGCCGCCTTCGACACTGTTAATCATGATATACTGATCAAACGTCTACACGAAGAATTAGGTATTGCTGATTCTGCCCTGAGCTGGTTTGAGTCATATCTCCATAACAGGATGCAAAAAGTCGACATCGAGGGATCGATATCTAACCCATTCGATTTAGGCTGCGGAGTTCCTCAAGGGTCGTGTCTTGGACCGATTCTATTTATTATATAAGCTCTTTTTAAGATCATTGAACACGAGCTTCCTTGTGCTCATTTTTATGCTGATGACACCCAGTTATATCTGAGTTTTAAACCTAATACTACATCTCAAGACCAAGTCTTGCAAGCAATGGAGAACTGTATTGAAAAAAAAAAAAAAAAATATATATATATATATATATAACCATTGACGTCATTTTGAGAGCGAGCTGTCTTTTTTCGCTCTGTGGAAGAGGAAAAACTGGATCAGTTAAAAACCGCTCGTTATATATTTTATCGCCAAGAGAGGGGGGGTGGGTTTCCAGGATCTTTAATGGTCTTATTGCCCTCCCTCCTCCCCTAATTGGCGGTCAGTTTTCTTCAGTTCTCCCCTTAGACACGATCTGAATAAAACGTAAGTAGTAAACTCGTGTAGGTGCACCCAAATTACCAGAAACGTCTTAACCTGTAAACTCCCAAATTCTCATTAGTAATTCTCCTTACTGTCTGCCACATAGTTTTTGTGATGTTAGTTTGAAGAATTTGGTGTTGGATCAACTAATAATCTCTTAATAAGTATTTTTCTTTATTCTCATCACCTGTCTTCTTGATATCGTATTGATATTGTAAGGAGAAGTTTTGTCTTGGTCACTCATGGTAGTTAAAGGCTTAACTTTAAAGGGTTGATTACCAGAGGTTTGAGGAGAAAGCTTTTCCATGCGGAAAACGTGCGAAAAGAAAACGTTTTATTTACGAACTTGCGAGAAACGCACGCTCGTGCGTAGGTGCTGAAGGCTTTTCAACTTTTTTCCGTACTCTCGCGATTTCGATTAGTGCAAATGGCATACGCCTTTTAAAAAACCTGGAATTTAATATGGAACTACGTTTAAGGTGTTTATAATGTCGCGTAAGTTTTGCCGTACGCAAAACGTGCGTGAAAGGATAACAGTTAAGTAAATAGATCTGGGCAGTATTAGAGGAGATGCTTGGAATGAAATGGGAGAGGATGAATCAAAATATTGTACAATTTTACAAAAAAAAGAAGGTGTAAGTAGGATTCTAAAGTACACCTACCTGCGTTTTTTTCCATCAATGATACAGACCAAACAGAAAACAAGGCAAAACAAACAAGCTTGATTGTGAGTTCTGTCTTGACGCTGACAGCAGTATCTTCTTCTCTACCTCTCTGCGAAAAGAGAAATAAAGGCTGTTTACGTTTGTTCAATATCAAATCAAATGAATTGATATTCTCATATCATATGGATCATTAATCAAAAACATGTCCATGAGGTGAGACATTTTGACCCATGAAGACCCGTTAGGTTGTCAAGCTATTTTTAACTCATTATTTTTTGATAGCGCACGGTAGGATATTGCCTGTGGTCTCGATGGGGTGATTGCTTTTACGGCTTACAATTATAATTTGGCCATTTTATGACTACTTAGTAATTTCTTCTCGTTTCCATTAAAGAAAGAATTTTAAGGCTGACTATTTTAACGACAAACGGTTTAAATTTGTCAATGTTTACGTCTAATGACCAAATTTTTTGGCCCTTTTACGGCCAACGGTAAATCTCATTGAGACTAATTCTTCGCCCGTTCATTGTGTAGTCTTGTGGGACGGCGTCACGTCGTAAACAACCGTCATGACATATTGAAGTAACAAGAGAAAAAAAGAATAGAAATATCAATAGCCCGAAATTTGAATGAAAAAAAATGAGATAAACATGCAGTTAGTTTAACATAAACCAAAGGGAAATATATAGTGAGCGACTTGGAAATTTTTAGATAGAAAAGAACACAAGTGGTTTGGAAACCAAGACTTGTTATAGAAAGTTATTGTTTTGAGTTATGTGAATCGACTCCTTACACTTTCGATTGCTGTCCACACGGGTGGTCCAGCCAAGAATGATTTTAGGCTTGTGGCGACGCAGAAAAAAGAATTTGAGAACACCTAAACGATTTTTTTAAGCACGTGTCCATGGGCAAAAAATAAAAGAAATATTTTTTTCGACGGGAAGTAGAGAGGAGCACTTAAAGCATTCATTTGAGATCATGATCATGAGAAAAGAGGAAATGGTCAGGTAGAGCTCTTGATTGTTAAACAAATTCTCCTTGTCAGCCCCTTATGAAATCTATAGAGAACAGTATGGAGAATATGCATACTAATGTTAGGGTGTAGAAGGGGTTCATCGTTAACCGTAAAAGGGCCAAAAAAAATTAAGCCGTTAGGCGTAAACTTTGTCGTAAAAATAGTCAGCCTTAAAAATTATTTCTTTAATCGAAACGGGAAGAAAATAACCTAGAAGTCGTAAAATGGCCAAATTTTAATCGTTACCCGTAAAAGCACCATATCGGTACCATCACCCCATTGGAACCCACAAGCAATATCCTACCGTGCACTATCAAAAAACAATGGGTTGAAAATAGCCTGAGGACTCAAGGAGCCCTCATAGCTAAAAATGCATTACCTCATAGACATGTAATTCGATAAAAGATTCATATGATATGCGAATATAACTTTATCGGATTTATCATTGAACTAGCATAAACAAGTTCGCAGAGAGGTCGAGAAGAAGAAACTGCTTTCAGCGAGAAGACAGAACTCACAATGAAGCTCGTTGCTGTTCTTTGCCTTGTTTTCTGTTTGGTTTGTATCATCGTAGGTATGTGTGCTCTAGAATAATCGTAATAATAACAAATTTATTTAAGGAGGGTAACACACAACAGTAATTCAACTGATGAGTTAGTCGCCCTAAAAGTACCGTCATTAGAATATTCGAGTTTTATAAAACTGGTCCAAAGGTCTATAAGAATATAAGCTACAAAGTAGATAAAATGAAAAAAGCCGCTTGAGTCAGATTAAATCGCATCCAGACTGAGAATCCTACTTAACCTTCTGTGTAGTCTAAAAAAATGATCTCTAACACCCAAAATAGTTTTCCTTCTCCTTTCCCCTCTCTGGGTTTGTCGTATTGGAAAAAAATATCACACGCTTTCGCAGAACAATGAGATAACAACCAATTACAATGATCTTTTAAAAAACACGACACTAACTGGTTCCTTATTTCCGAAAGATTTTCATCAAATGATTTTAAAAATGAAGCCTATGGGTGAGCTTCAATTTTAGAGGTAAATGAAAGAAACCAACCGCAAGGTGACTCAAACGTGCATTTTCTATTTCCTATTTCCTATTTGACTGTGACGATAATTTTACGCCCATAATTCCTTTGTTTCCCTGGTTGTCAGTCGGCTGTTGTGATAACTTTGGTACAGGTTTCACAGCGCCTGATTGTCAGGCACCGGTCCTTAACCATCATAATACTATTG